TGAACACAAACTAATCCTCTTCTGACACGAAACTGTACAAAACTAATGTTGAAAAGGATTTGCCTACATATTTTTGTCCCTCACAAGAAAGTGCTTATATTCAGACTTGTATTGTGTTCATTGCAGATAATGTAGAAACAAGGAATTTAGTTTTTCTACTAATAACGCATTTGTTAATGGAGCAATGAAGTATGAATTCGTTTTCTAAAAGTATTTAGGTAAATATTCATATTTGTCTATATACTTTTGTCCATTACTGTACAACAAAAATTATGTCGTGAGTTTGAATGTGAGGTAGAACATGCGGTCACACGTAATAGTATAAACAATCATTGACTACAGATATGATGTGATAAAAACTAGTCACATCTTACAAAAAAAACATCAAAATACGTAAGGTATGATTAGCTTTTATCAGTACGCCAGGTAACCAAAACTTTGCGGTCGGTTTGGACTATTAATGATTTACAAATAAAAACAGCGATCTATGTGCGTTCTTGGATACAGATGCGCTGTTGCCAAGCCGCAGCCGCCATAAAATATTTATAAAACGCTACGTTTATACTAAGGAGAATAGTTCAGGTTTTTTCACGGTTTTTAGTGGTTACAACAAAATGTCATACGAAATAAATAAACATATCGTCTTAAGGCCATGTTGCCTAGATAACTTGCGACCATGCCAAATAGACCGACAATTGGCGAAATACGCAATTAGGTAGTCCGCGTGGGACCCCAAAAGTTAAATAGCTATGTGATAACTTTTGAGATAGCTCTCGAAAAGTGTGAATTTGATTTATAACTTTACTGAATGAAAAATATATTTCGTAGGTTGCAAATGGCTGGTAAATATTCCCACCATGAATAAATGTCCAAGCGAAAGTAAATTTGAATAAAAAATGCGTTCACCACAAGTGATGGTCAATTAATTAATAAAAAATGATTATCTATCTGACAACAACGTATTTATTTCGTCAAAATGAAAATAGTCGTCATCACCTGTTTTGTGGACGCCATGTTTTTGGAGTCACCTCTCAATTCTCTCTAATTTTATTCACCTTGTCTGCCTTCTCTTTACGTAACGACTCTTATATATAAACTTGGCAACGCTGCGTCGGGAGCAAAGCCATAAAACAATTCGATCTCCTGATAAGTGCTATAAAAAGTCTAAACAGGGATATTAAACCAAATTCTTTCCACTACAGGCTTATCCTAATGTTCCTAATTAGGGTTAATATTTGTTAAATGAATAATTTTCCACGACCCTAAATTCCCCATTTTAAAGTAAGCCTGCTGCCGTTTATTCGACATAATTAGGCCCGTTGGACCCATCCCTATTCCCATCGTTGGCCGGTTGGCCATAGCCTACCAAAGTATACGGCCTCAAGAGAAGTAAGATCGCTTGCTGCAAAAACCTTCTGTTCTGTGCGTCATGTCACAGTAAGAAACATCATGGAGGTTTTAGTGCAATAAAAATAACAAATTGTTACTCTTTCCGTTATGTTATTTTTGACATCCACAGCAAATAACGATTGTCGACGAGTTTCAATAACCACAAAGATGAACCGCGGTAATTTGACAGTATTTACTACTGAGTCACGACAGGTTGCTTATTTTTTTTCGATTTTGAGGTAAAGCTACCTCAGCACTTCAAAACTTTGGACACGAATTGAATAGGTTTAAAATTACGGAACCATAGAAGGACAAGTGACCATAAAAACAGCAGAACCACGATAAAATATTACCTTGACACATTGCATACGAGGTCTGTAAATTAAGTGATGATTCTGGTAGCGTTCGATCTGGCAGCCATGAAGGTGCCGGACTTGGAGGGAGACAGGGAAACATGTGATCCGCCTTCAGTACAAGTTTGAACTTGCTCGAGTCATTTTTTTGTGAAACTGTTTTTCATAGTTTTTCCTAATGTATACTAAACATGAATGAATTTCTAGCTCTGGTGTGCTATCAGGTTTTGCTTCAGATTTGGACACGTGCATCGAAAACCCTCGCTAAACTTCAGCAGTCCTACGAAGTTGGTGTTTCTTCAAGCTCAGGTCTTTCGGGTGGTTTAAGGGAAGGGAGATCGAAAGTTGAACCACGAAGCGGAAGGCCTTCATCTTCAGGGTTCGATGAAACTATCGACAGAATCCGGAAGCTTGTGCATTCAGATCTTCGATTGACAGTCAGACTGATCGGAGAAGAGTCAAATTTTCGCTGTGTGGTTTCAGAAGGTCGTTATATTGAAGGTGACAATATAAAATTAGTCCCATCTCTTAATTTACAGACCTCGTATATGACAAAATTCAGGAGAGTTCAATTTATTTAGATTACTTATCTGTGGTCTAAAACTCATATTTGTCTTATATTTTAACCAATATGTTTATTAGAATTAGAAATTATTTCAATTAATCTTATCTAGCTTCAAAAATTCCGGCAACAGGAAAGGATAAACTTACAAAATAAGCCTCCCCTATTCACGGTAACTAACGGAGCTTTTAGGGATGGTGAAAGGTTTTCTCGCTATTAACTTGCTTGTCACACTTCTTATATCAACTGTAGTGCTGCAAAAAATGCAGGTGACACGCCATCCATGAGTAGTTTCGCCAATTGCGGTACTACCGCCCCCACGTACGGCAGCAGGCAACTACAGTTTCCCGGCATCTCTGAGCGACAGTGTTTCCTTCTAAGATACCAAAGAAGGTCCATCACATAGGAGAGTACTAAGTACTTTCCATGCTACTGGGAATGACGATCTATGCGAAAGTTGCATAAACTAAACACACGATGAGTATGTGACCATAATCAATTGTATACAAAGTTGTTTCATACTTTTTAGAAATCATCAGTATGGTATAGGACTAGTAATTTAGAGACTTTTGCATAGTACGTCAATGTTGGTAGCATGAGGAGTACTTAGGTCCGTATCGTCAGTCGTCCCTACAATTGCAGGGCGCCTTTATGGCCTCCTTGATTGTCATAGTTTTCTACTTCTCCGTGTCAGAACTCTATTTTGAGGTTATGTCACAAACATCTATTTGCATCAAATTGTGCTTGCTTTTGAGTTATATCATGTTTTATCAGCCTGAAATTTCCTACAATTTAAAAAGAAAACATATCTTCACAATAGGAGAGCGCTGACGCTGACACGGGACAAGTGTAATCTAGAAATTTTTGAAGGAGAGAAAGGAGGATGGCAATCAAGGAGGCCATAAACGCTCCCTACAATTGTAGGGACGACTGACGATACGGGCCTTAGTGACGATGGTGGTTGTTCTTGTTTGGATTTTTGGGAGTGAACACTGTCTCTCAGAGATGCCGGGAAATCGTGGCTTCTTGCTACCGTACGTAGAGGTCGTTAGTACCGAAACCGGCGAAACTACTACTTTTATTCAATTGACTAGACCTATACCGTACTGATGCTTGCTAAAAATCATGAAAAACGTTGTATACGAATGGTTATGGTCGCAGAGATGGAAAGCAAATAGATACTAGTTGAATGTAGCCCACCGGCACGGCTGTTATGTAAAAAGCTATAAATGCAAAAAAAACAAACAAAATGTCATCTTGCAGACTAGGTAGTTTTTAGGGTGCAAATAGTTATTTCCACGTTTGCTAGCTATGATCGCTGTGAGGAACGACTGAACTACACGCATTGTTGGTTGCAGAAAACAAGTATATGTTTTGTGAAGCCGAGTAGTCTGTAGTGTTTATTTCTGAGATTTGAAACAAAGAAAGTTGGTTTAATAGCAAGATCGCATCTGGATGATTATGTGTATTGGTCTACATGTACAAGCAGTGATATTTGCTGTGTGAGAAAATTATTACTGATCATGCTGCCAATGAACTATATCTAAGTATTAGCCGTGCCCCTCGGTTTATATATACGTGTATGTTGTCCTTTCCGAAGACAAGTTATGTTCAAAGTTATAAATTACGATTTTTCCCGTTTTTTCTGTATTCAAAAACTTTGAAGAGCATTACGGGAATTCGTCATCGCGTCCGCGTTGTGTGCAATTAAGCTACATCACAGAAAAATTAGGAATGACGCATCACACATCAAACATTTTCACAGTGCCTTACATCTAGGCGCTGATTTGTATTTTCTAATGACATCAGAAAATAAATTTCTATAAAATTTAAATGATGTAAAAACCGTTTTACTTTCATAAATATTCCTGTCTGTAGCGTTTCTCATCTGTTTTCCTTCTCCAACCAGGGATTTTCATTTCTTATCTCTCTCATTTTTTAAATTCAGCAAATTTGCATATGTAATTTCCAGAATGAATAAGAAAAAGTGGATGTCCAACCAATTTCTACCTTTGAATCTCATGTAAGTATAGCTATAGTAGACAACTTACAGCTTAGACCTCTAATAATACCATCTCTGAAGCAGATTTTACATCATATTAGAGTCAAACATTAATAGCTGAAGCATTATGACGTTTAGGCAACACGCACAACTACAAAACGAGTTAACACGTGCCCACACTTGACTAGAGTGGGGAGTGAAGTGTGAACCAGAAAGGGTCGTGGACTGTTCACACGATCACGATTTCACGCCTGAAAATCAAACGTGCTTGATACTGAGCGTGAGTGACTGTAACTTGCTTCTTGCAGGATGACATTAGAAGCAAACTCACGTCACCTCGTTCAGGCAGAGGCAGTTCCACGAATGCCAGGATCACGCTAGTGTGCCATGCTCTGTGAGAACGTAGCTTTAGACAGGAAAAAATTTCTATGGACTCTCTCGGGTAGAAAAGCTCGACAAAAGTGTGAGATTCTCCAAAATAAGACCTACACACTAAAATCTCTCAACCATTTACTATGCATTTCATAACCGTAGTGTATTAGAGCATTTCACCATGGCGGGTAGTGCAGCCAGACGACTCTGCGGGGCTCAGTGTGATCTTACTATCCGCAGTCTGTAAACTTTGTTGCATGCAGTCGCGCGTACCGTCCGCGTATCCCGGAATTAGGAATTTTTAATTAAAAAAATGATTTACCTTTAGGATCATTCGGATTTATCACTTTCAGTATGGTGGCGGGAATTGGCTTCCCGACAGAACCGCCGATGTTGGTCTTCGTTTTGATCTCGTTCGGGAAGAAGCACACTACTGGAGAGGTTTCGGTTAAGCCATAACCTGAAATATAATTGGTGGAAGTTGTACAGAGTCGTTATGGAGGATCTTAAAGGGGAGATGAAATAAAATGAAGATACCACTAAAGAACGTTGTTGTCACGCCATGGATACCTGATATATATGATAAAAGCATGCCAAGAACCAACTTTTCTATACAGGGTGTTTCACAACGTATGTGAAAAATTTTAACCACATATGCACTGTTACGAAAGAAGTTGATTTCTTAAAAAAAAAAAATTAATAAAAGTCCTACAGAAATTCAGTTATAAACCTGAGTTTCAATAGTAAATTGAAAAATAAATTTCTGTAATTTGCGTTCATCGTCATGATATTAGAACACACATTAATAATTTATTGTAGGAAATGTTGTACCAAACAACTGACCAAAACAAAATACCAGGAATTTTTTGTTTTTCATACTGATACGTAACAACATGTAAATAAGGTTTAATCTGTATCGTGGGTGATCTGAATGGAAAACGGTCGATTTTTGTGAAGTTAAATACGAAAGTATTTTGCGAGTTTATGTTTTTAGTTATGTATTAATAAAAATGACACATGTGTACACTAATGAGGAGTTAGTGGATATCGTTTTAGCGTACGGAGAAGCAGGGCAAAATTCGCGAGCGGCTTCTCGTTTGTATGCTCACCGATTTCAGAATAGGCACATATCACATCACGAAACATTTAATTCAATTGTTTTACGTGCACATGCTAGTGGAGATTTGCGCCCCAGACGTGGACAATTTTGAACAGGATTTATAAGTAAGTGAACTTTTATTTTCCTGATTTCTGTAGGACTTTCATTACATTTTTTTGGAGAAATCAACTTCTATCGTAACAGTGCATATGTGGTTAAAATTTGTCGGATAAGTTGTGAAACACCCTGTATATCGTGGAAACTCTAATCTATGAAGTAGAGAGTCTTGTAAAAAACTAACCTGATTTACAATGCTTAGTTCAGACAATGAAGGTATAGAAAAAGGTGGTTAATAAAAAAAATTCGGAGTCGTCGGAAAAGTTGCCAAAAAATGTTTCTATAATTTATGTAAGTGTGATAGTAATAGTCTTCACCTTTCTCGAACGCTTGAGAGTATTTTGAAAAAGTCTAATAATAGAATGACAAGCAAAGCATAAGTGTTCCAAATTTCATTTAAATTGGACTATCGCTTTTTGAAATATCTTAAAAAATGCGTTAAATTGAAAACTCTGACGCTCTCTAACAGAAAAATGAAGCAACCATGCATAGAGGTAAATTATGTTCAATTGACTTATTTTGAGTCTAAAAATATGTGGTACTTCTGGGCCGCGGAATATTCGAATATTAAATTTAAAATCGTCTTTAACATAGAATCACACCCTTTTCCCCGTCCAAATTCTTGGAACGTGTATTGCTGGTTAATGTTCTGCGAATAAATACAATTTTCATTTGATTACAGGACTGATCATGAGTGATCAGAGTTTTGCTCTCCTAAATCGATCATTGCCACACTGAGCATTGTCAAATGTGTAGGAACTTTGGACTAAGTGTATGGGACTGTTTGATGTACTTGATCCATTTAACTTTTTTGTTATACATGTTCGTATCTAACACTTTTATCAGAGGTCTAAATTATGAACTAATGGCAGCGTTGCGTGAGAAGTCAATCCACTTGACGCCATTTTCTTACAAACTGAACCAACAAAATTTAGGGTGGCGAGCACCAACCAAGAGAATTCAAAACTAAATATGTATGTTGCTGAAAATGTACGAGGTTTGTAAATTAAGTGATGAGACTGGAAACGTAGTGTTCGATCTGGCAACACTGAAGGCGCCGGGCTTGAAGGGAAGACAGGGGAACATGTGATCCGCCTTCAGTACAAGTTTGAACTCGTTCGAGCTTTGGTTGTCCATAGCGGTTTTTTTGTGAAACAGTTTCTCAGTTTTTCCTATTGTGTTCTGGAAATGAATGAATTTCGAGCAACGGTGTGCTATCAGGTTTTGCTTCAGATTTGGGCACCGTGTAACGGAAACTCTTGCTAAACTAGCAGGTCTACGGAAATAGTGTTTTGTGAAGAGCCCGGGTTGTTCGGATGGTTTAAGGCATTTTCAGAAGGGAGAGAGTCGATTGAAGATGAACCACGAAGCGGCAGGCCTTCAACTTCAAGAACCGATGAAAATATCGACAGAATCCGGGACCTTGTGCGTTCACACCGCCGGTTGACAGTCAGAATGATCGGGGAAGAGTTAAATTTGACTCACACCACCGTTCATCAGATCAAGAACAGCTGGGTGCTGCATCACGATAATGCTCAACACACAGAAATGTCACTAGACCCGTTTTTGGCCAGTAAAAACATACCTGTGGCTCCTCAGCCTCCTTATTCGCCTGACTTGAGTCCTTATAGCTTTTTTCTTTCCGAAGTTGAAAAATCACCTCGGGGAAACTCATTTTGGGACAGTCGTAAACATTCAAACGGCTGTAACCGACCAGCTGAAGGCTATTCCAGTATCGGAGTTCAAGCACTGCTACCAAGAGCGGAAGAATCGTCTTCAGCGTTGTGCAGCTTCAGAAGGAAGTTATTTTGAAGGTGAAAATATAAAAGACAGACCTCATATAATATTGACGACTTCGGGGCTTCCGTTCATCCATGATCAGATGATATTTTGAATACTGAGTTACTGAGGTCACTAATTACGGATATTTTCAGCAACATACTAATTTACCCTTATACCCAGTTTAACTAAACCGCCCATGAAACCGGGAAGTTCCGGACCCATGTTTATATGAACATTTCTAATATTTCCGCATGCTAAATCCAGTTTCTGATGTTTCGGAGAACATACTGTTTGTAGTATCAAGGATAGTAAATCTCACCTTGCTTGACCTGGATATGACTGCCGAATTTCTCTTTGAATTTGTCTTCGTCTAACTGACCTAAAGGTGCAGCTCCTGATACGACCCTCCGCAGATGTTTAAAATATTCCGGTTTAACGTCAGAATGGTGGGTCAGAAACAATACTGAAAAATAACAAATAAAACGTAATGTTTTTGTATACTTATGCACCAGTCACGCTGAGATAGAAAAAACAAGAAAATTGGGATCACAAGTGTCAATGTAAGTATAGATAAAATAATATGCAGGTTGTCCAAGTTAAGGATCCTATGCATGGGAATCTCAATACCTGTGGGAGATACTATTTTTATTGGGTGAACATTTCGTCCTTCGATTCATTAAAAATCGAAAAATGATAATTAGAACATTTTATACTTCCCACGAATAGGTGGCGCAAGTGGTGCTCAGGTACCGGTCATTTAAAAATTCAAACTACACACTTACTACGAGCCCCTTCCCACTTCAGTTGGCCCAACTATTGAAATCTTTTTTTTTTCTTATCCAACACAAATAATAAAAATGTAGCAGGGTGTTATAGGTTTAAAATATTAACAATGAATATTTTGATAATATATAGTAGAAAACACCAACTTAATCACTCCCTAATCAAATTTGCAGCATAAAAATAACACATGTTGCAATTACAGCATATCAACCTATTTTCATTTCAATGCAAAATAAGTCTATAACGCAGGTGACTGTGAAAAATAAAAGCCATTTCAATTGTTTTTATTAATCACAGCTGTCAGAATATGTTTAAAATAGTTTTGGGTAGTTAAGATTTTCAAAATGGGTAGAGGAAAGGTTATTAGTGAGAAAATTCGGTTACTGATAATTAATTTTTTAATTCTGGGAAATCGAGCTCGGAAATTGGAACTTTGTTAGACTTATCGCGGTATAGTGTGAGAAATATTGTTAGAAGATATAACGTAACTAGTTCAGTTAATATTAAGCCACGATATGTGAAAAAAAGTAATATCACAACTGCCGACCGAAGAGCGTTAAGAAGAATAATCGTGAAAAACAGGCGTGCCAATTATTTACAATTAAGTGTTCTGTGGAGTGACTCTGTTGGAAAGAGAATTTCGAGGTCCACAACTCATAGAGAGGCCCACAAACTGGGATTTAGCACTTGCAAGGTAAGTTTTCTTATAAAAAAAGTTAAGTAAAAACCATAAAGTTGCACAACTTGTTTATAGGCCAAAGAAAAGCCACTATTAACTCCACTGCAAAAGAAAAATCGGCTTAGATGGGCTAAAGAACATAGACAATGGACACCTCAACAATGGTGTGCAATACAATGGAATCATGAGGCGCCATTCGAAGTTTGTGTTGGTGACAGTCGCAGTAGAGTTATTCGCAAAAAAATGAAGCATTCCATGTTGACTGTCTGAAGAGAAAGGTGAAATTTCCAGCATCCATTATGGTCCGTGGCAGTATGTCATCAAAAGGAGTAGGAAAACTTCATTTTATTGATGGAAATGTGGATACAAACAAATATTTGCCATTTTAAGAAGAAACGCTTTTACCAGTGATGGAAGAATGTTTGACATCCGGCCAAGATTTTGCGTTTAAGCAAGATGGTGCAGCGCGCCATACCTCAAAAAAGGCTATAAAATGGATGGAAGAAAATAATGTACCAATTTTGAAATGGGTTTCTAGCTGTCCAGATCTGTCACCTATCGAAACTTTGTGGCACGAGATGAAAAAGATTCTACGACAACATCCTGCTCGTACAATCACCGAACTGAGACAAAAGCTTCAAGAAATATGGGATTGTTTTACACCAAATTTTTGCCAAAACTTGGTTAACACTATGCCCCAAAGAATTTCAGCCGTAATAAAAAATAAAGGTGATGTTACCCAATGGTAATCTTTCAGTTGTTGCTTTGCTAACTTCGCGCATTTATTCGCACATTGTTTATTTGTTCAGATGTTTTATTAGTTATAGGTCTAAGTGATTTCAAATATGTATTTTTTTCGACTAGAGTGTATCTAAAATATTTTTGAGAAAATAAATTGTTTTAGAAGTAAATAGTTTCGTCATGCTTAGTTTATAAAGGCATATTTTGGTACAAATCTTGAAGTGGGCCAACTGAAGTGGGAAGGGGCTCGTATATCGACTTTTTACTTTTCTGCAGTTGTTTTCAAAACACAAAATTATCTAGCCAGCATTGCCTCAATATAACAATGACGTGCGTATGAACTTACCTAGTGGAGGTGCTACAAATGCCGAAGTAACTGGATTATTCTTTATAACTGATATATACAATTCCGGTGTAAATTTGGGTAACGTGATCAGTTTTGACCCCTTGGTTCCTGTGTACATCATGCATACCGAAAAACCATATATGTGGAACATAGGAAGAACAACTGGAATGACTTCTTGATAGGAATCTAGAAAAACAAAATATCACGTATCATTTGTGGTTCCAAGGTTTGCTTAACGTAGACAACAGCAAAGCTGCAGTGGGTTCTTAGAATATTAATTTATGCTCGTCAACCTACCAGTAGCAGTTTCTATGAGGTTTGAAGAAGGATGGGAAGACTGACACAGATTCGCGACAATGTTTCTATGGATTAATTGGACTCCTTTCGGCAATCCAGTTGTGCCACTGGAATAAGGTAGAAATGCCAACGAGTCCGGATCTGTGTAATGGAAGTCTGGCATATCCGATTTGAAGTTGGCCGCTTCATCAAAGTTTATACAGCCTTCGATTAGACTATCATGTTGCTGAAAAAATCATAGAGTTAGACAGAAAGAATTATGATCAGAAGAGCTAATATGTGATTCATTTCAGATGTTAATGGATGGTTTCTTATTGTTTTAAATAAGGTATGTTATTTCGTGGATTACCTAATACATGATGTGAAAGTGGCTGTTTTTACTTCCCCATGTACGAAAAACCATGTCACTCATTTCCGTTGGCCTGTCTGTCCGTTAATTTTATAACCGCCTATAGCTTTTACAATGTCACTACTATGCCAAGGAAGCAAAAGCTTTGTAGTTTTTTAAAATCGGACCAGTGGCGGCAGAGAAAATATCGGTTAAAGTTCGTTTTTTGACGTTCCAGAAGATCCTGATAATTTTTGAATAAAATCTTAGTGGTTAAAAACTTGGGGGTCGGAGTTGTAAGAGTTTAGCTAATTTTTTTGGTGCTGGTACATTTACACGCTTGCAACATTGGTAATTCTACGCACCGATTAGACATATTTCACACATCATAGATGTCTCTGTACATTAGCCTTCACATCTTATTCTCTAATGTTATTACGTATCTTGAAAAGTGACATTTCGTCGTCTTTAAATATTTCGTAGGTTTGTCACAAAACCTAGGTTTTTCTACAACTTAGCACAAGCCGTTGTACACGTGTTGTGAACTCGTTTTGTAGCAGTACGTGTTGTTTCAACGGCAGCGAACAGCGATTATAGCGAGCTAACGTGGAATGAACTATTTGCTCACTAAAGTCTGCAATACGACAATTCGTCGTTTTTGTGATGTTTTTTAGGTATTTTTTCATAGCACCTCTGCCGGTCGTCACCTATGGCCTGTGGCTGCTGCTGACGTCGTGCGCCGACCGTGATGACTGTTCTGTCATGGAATCACACGTATTTCTGCCGAGCAACAGCATAGTGTTTTCTATGCTCTGGCCACACTAGGTATCGACGTTTCGAGATATATTACCGGTAGGGCAGGGAAAGACCGTATATTGACTAATGTATGGACCTGTTTGACTAATTTTTTCTCAGAAGGTGCTGAACATATTCCTTAAGGACGCCAAAGCTTTGTAGTTTTTGAAATTTGGTTCAATGGTGGTCCAATTCGGTCCAAACAAGAGGCTCCTGATCAGTTTCAGGAAATTATTTGCAGGGATTAAAGGTCGGGGGTGCATCATCTTTTTGGCAGCAGTATACTCGTATTTATACCGTTGCTAGATGCTCGATAGCAGGGAAGAAACTAGCGTTAGCATTATCAAATGGGTGGGGACTAATTGCATGAACCTGTTTGGCTGACTACATACATTTCATTTTTATTATACATGTTTGGAGCTAGATCAGAGAGACTAACTTGTGCAGAGTAAACCTATCTGCCACCATAATTTTGAGCTGGAAGAATGTATTCATTCATTATGTTCTGCTACAGTAGCAGACCAGAAAATGAAATGGTTTGTCAACAACACTAAGATGTTAGTTGCCTTGCACTTTCCAAGTTCCATTTTCTTAGGGCCGTTTCGTCAGTCGTTCGTACAATTGATTTACATCATCTGTTATACAGCCTGACATTTCCTAAGATTTTAAAAGAACATAGCTTCACAATAGGAGAGCGCTGACGCTGACACGGCACAGTAGAAATCTAGAAACATCCAGCCTTTCTGAAGGAGAGAAAAGAGTATGAGAATCAAGGAGGCCATAAAGGCATCCTACAATTGTAGGAACGACTAACGATACGGCCCTTAGTTACCTAAATGTGCAACTTTGCCCCCATTTAACCGACTTCGTATTTCTTAGTCGTAGTCGACTTTGAAGCGCCCGTTATAATGAAGAACGATTCTGATTTTGTAACTGATCAGCTACAGATTTCCAATGTTATACCTTCGGGATAGCTTCTATAATCGATACAACCACAGTCTGATCTCTCGCAGTCACATTAATTGCTGATATAACACTTAGATATGTACAGACTCCATATATCAAACCCCGCCACTACGCGTGCATAATTCACGGGGTCTGTGTTGGATAATGTTATTGTATATATTAAACAGAAATTACCGTAGAGAACGGATTGTACAGACAATGAGCATTATTCCAGGGTGTCTGATATACTAATGAGCCCTTACAGGAAGTTAATCAGATTAATAGAGTGGCTTTATAGCAACATAGTAAATTTTGTAAACGCTCGTCAATACTCGCCGTTGTAGGCAAATTTATAGCTAACAATGGGAATAATGGACCCAATAGAAGCTGGAACTATTCATTGTTTAGTCAAAATTAACTTTCCTATTTCGTAATTATTTTTTTTGCGGGAATCCTTCGATCGGTACCACCGGTGACACTGCCAACAAGCTTATGAATTTTCTCTCTCCGTATTTTACAGCATACAATCCAGCAGCTGCTGGGAAAAAAGATAGTATATGGGTTTAGGGCTAAGAAGTAATTTTCTCCAGATGACATCTGTATTCAGTACTAGGTCCAGATAAGATCTAGCCTCGAGTACTGTTCACATGTTTCGAGTACTGCCGCCCCAACTACATTGTCCATGTCCGATGCTGTTCAGAGAAGGGGTGTCTGATTGATCCATGACTCTTCTCTAGCCGACAGTCTCGGAAACATTTCGCCGTCGGCTATCTGGCTCTCTGCTACCGCTATATCTACATGCTTATCTTCTCAGAGCTCTGCTCCAAGATGTCGTTGCCAAACAACTCGTCTAAATTTGGCCTGACGACATTTGTCTTAGTTCTACTAACCTGAGGCAGTTCATATCAGATTAACAGAGTGACTTTAAGCTCCTTATAGCAGCTGCGGTGGTCCGGCAGTACGGCTTTTGCCTACGCGGCTGCATTGGTATAAATAATAGTTAAAAAAAACTAAAAAAGACGCTTTTATAGCTAACTGAACTAAAAATTAGAAAACAAATTTTAATTACAAAGAGTTTATATTACAGTAGTAGGGTGGTTGAACAACCAGTCATAATTAATGACATGGCATGATTAACGATTGTTAGGAATTCATAATTCAGTGGCGCAGCTATAGCGATATTGTTGTGTGGAGACTACCTGTGCCTGTTTGTGTTGTCTGTTTTTCAAAAAGTGATCATGTGTGTGTCCCTGTCCATCCTAAGAGCAATATCGTAGTCGTTTCTATAACTGTAGGACGCCTTTCTTTCCTCTCCTATGAAAAAGGCTGTGGTATTTCTAGATGTATACTGTTCCGTGTCAGCGTCAGCGCTCTCCTATTGTGAGGCTATGTTTTCTTTTTGAATTGCAGGAAATTGCAGGCTGATATAAACCCAAAATAGAACACTGACACGGAACAGGAGAAGACGGCTGAACTATACGAGTACTTTAGCGCATATCGCAAATATTTCATTTCTTATTTTAAAATGAAAGATTAGGATGCAATTTGTACGAAAATATCATTTTTCACTTCAAAGTTGCATTTTGGGTGGTAATACTGAGGTATAGAATACTGCTTTATAAGCTGGTTTTTTCTTGTTTACACAAAAGAATGCTCACCATTATATGAATATAATATAAATTGTATATTACTGTGACACTGTTCATCGCAACAATGCATTTTTGCATTATTTAAATGATGAAAATAGAATATTGGTAAGTAGTCATTTCTTTTACTCGTATGTCAGATAAATATTCCCATCACTATACCACCATCACTATGATAATTTCTGCATCTAGTTGCGATGTTGCCAAATCATGGTTAGTAATATACCTTGATTCGGTTTGTCAAATTATCACTTATATACTAGCGCAAAAATATGCAGTCGGTATATGATTGCCATGAATTTGAAGGTGTGGCCAGCAGGTTTTACTGTACTAAATCTACCTCGTGTCTTAGGATAGAGTTAGCAAAAGACACTTTTTTGAAGAATGCCATATGCCTTTCACAAAAATACATCGATTATTATTTTTCCTATATTATAGTTATAATCTATTTACTTTTGTATGTATGTACTTGTAGAATTAAAACATACCTAATTTAATGTGATTTATACGAGAAATTACTGAAAAAGTAGCTATTGCCAGTCACTAAGTAATGAAAACATAATAAAGAAGAACATGCAAGTTTTTGATGATTTGATGAAATGGTCATTGATCTTTATTTAACTATAATGTTGGACGATGATATATTGGGTGGACCTGTCGACGTGGTCCAAATCGGCGAATCGAAGGCGAAGGTATTTTTATATGCAATGACCGCTGGTGCTTTTTGTATTTTTTATGTCACGGGAGCCGCAGGTGCATTTTCCACTGTTTAGGCACGTACTGTTCAAAGTTGATCTAATTTTCAGTGCATATTGGGATAACTATTTATAAAACAAGCCATTTACAATAAATTAAGATTTTATTTTACAAATAACCTAATTTTTTTATTACTTATTTCTCCCCAAAAAGTACAACTTGGCAACAATGGATATCATTTATCTCATCTGTCAAGAAATGAATGCTATAGAATAGCCGTTGAGAATATTTGTACTTTGAAATATTTCTTATAAACGCAAAAACTTTGATCTCATTGAAAATACGCGAAACAAAACGGTTGAGGCATTTCAAGAAGACATTAAAAAATCTCAACACAACACCTCTACACAGTTTACCAAGTAAATACCATAATCTACGGTATGCATTTTGAACCTTTTTTTTGCAAAAAAAACAATGATTTTTTGTAGTTTCACATCTATTTTCCTTAAAAACAATCTTTTCTGAATTTTTTTCCGAAAAACACAAGAATTTCGGCCCTTATGCGCTAAAGTATATTCTTAAAGGTATGTATTTCGAACTGTCATTTCACCTTATTATACGGCTAGATTTTGACCTTTTTCTTTGAAAAACCAACGATTTTCTACAGTTTCACATCTATTTTCCTTGATACTATACAGTTTATGTTATATTCGTATAATTTAGAGCATCCTTTTGTGCAAAAAGCAAAAAACCAGCGTATAAAATATGTAGTACTCCAGTTTAGAGTATTACCACCAAAAATGCAACTTTGAAGTTCTATGAAATAGCAAGCAGAGGGTTCCTTAAAGAAAAAAAAAATATTTTCGTAAAAGTTACATCCTAGTCTTTCATTTTAAAATAAGTAATGAAATATTTGCGATACGCGCTAAAGTACAGTCTTACCGAGAAAACTATGAAAATCAAGGAGCCTACAAAGGCGTGCTATAATTATTATTGACTAACGATATGGCCTAAATCTCGGTTCTTTTAATATCACTCTCTGGTTTTGTATATGACCATGATTGTTACATGTGAATCAACCTCACATTGCTAGCAATGGATAATACAATCTCTAGAAGTTATTAGAGATGTTAGCACGTTTATACCATTTTCGTTACTGAATAGGTTGGAACACCTGAGGCCATTAAAACAAACGCGGAAGTAAAGACATTTCGTAACAACTTGATTCGAAATGAAAGTAGAGTTAAAGTTTTGGTTGGCCATTTCCATTATCCGTAAAAGTTTGTAGTATATAGTATCATATTAGCAAATTTCTCCGAAATAATTGTAAA